CACACACACATATTATAAAGGGTTAATATTCAAAATATATAAGGGACTTACACAACTTAATAGCAAAAAAACGCCTAAATAATCCAATTAAAAAACTGGCAGAGGCACTGAGAAGACATTTTTCCAAAGAAGACATACAAGTTGACTCACAGGTACACGAAAAGTTACTTGACATCACTAATTGTCAGTGACATGCAAATCAAAACTACAGTGAGATATTGCCTCACACCTGTTAGATTGGCTTCGATCAAAAAGATAAAAAGATAACAAATGTTGGGCAGGATATGGAGAAAAGGGAATTCCTATACACAGGTGGTGCAAATGCAAATTGGTACAGCCATTATGAAAAACGGTATGGAGGTTTCTCAAACAAACCTTAAAAACAGAACCACCATATGATCCCACCATCCTACTTCTGGGTATCTGCACTCCCATGTTCATTGTCGCATTACTCATAATGGAAACAACCTAAGTGTCTGCTAACACATGAATGGGTAAAAAGATATATAAAAATATATATTATTCAGCCAGGAGAAAGAAGGAAATCCTGACTTTTGCAACACCATGGATGAACCTAGAGGAACATTACACGAAGTGAACACACCAACACACCAAAATATGTGAGTCATAGTTAAAACCGTGCTGAGAGGGAAATTTATAGCACTAAATGCTCCCACCAGAAAAGAAAAAAGTCTCCAAGTAATGATCTAAGCTCCCACCTTAAGAAATTTAAAAATACAAGAGCAAGACAAATCCTACACAAGCAGAAGGAAGAAAATATTAAGAAATGAATGAACTAATAAATGAGACCAGGATTCCCTAGATACCAAAGTTAGACAAAGACAGTACACACACACACACACACACACAGACCAAAATTCCTCATCAATACTGATGCAATGCCCTTAACAAACTCTTAGTAGATGGAATTTGGTAATATATAAAAAGTATTTTACACTATGACCAAATGGGACTTATTCCAGGAATGCAACACTAGGTCAAGATTTAAAAATTAATAAATACAATCCACCATATTAGCAGGCTAAATTAAAAAAAAATCACATGATCACATTAACTGATGTATAAACAGGATTTGAGGAAATTTAACAAACATTCATGATAAAAACTTTATATAACCTATAAGGAGAAAATTTGATAAATTAAACTTTATCAAAATTAAAAAAAAAAAACTTTTGCTCTGTGAAGGATCCTTTTAAGTAAGATGAAACAGACAATCCACAGAATAGAAGAAAATGTTTGCAATCCACCTATCTGAGAAAAGACATGTCTAGCATATATAAAAAGCTCTCAAAATTCAATAAATCTCAAGAAATCCAAATAGAATATAGACAAAAGATACTACAGAGACAATTTACCCAAAAAGATGGAAGAAAAACAAACAAGCAAATGAAAAGTTTTTCAACATCACTAGCCATTAGGGAAATGCAAGTTAAGACCACAGTGAAATATCACTACACAGAGATTAGAATAGGCAAAATAGAAATTTGTGACAATTCCAAACGCTGGTAAGGATGTGGAGAAACAATTTCTTATACATTGGTGGTGAAGACATATTTTATACTAAATATAGTATAAGCTAAGTATACATTTAATTTTTAAAACTAAATATATACTTATCATATGATCTAGCAATCACATTCTTAACTTTTATTTGTAGAAATGAAAACCTTACTCCACACAGAAACTTGTATAAAGATGTGTGTAGCAGCTCTCTTCATAATAGGCAAAGAACCAAGTTGTCCTTCAATAGATAATTGGTTAAACAGATCATGGTATAACCATATCATGGACTACTACTCCACAATCAAAAGGCACAACATATGTTACAACCTAGATGAATCTCAAGAGCATTATACTGCGTGAAAAAAAAGCCAACATCGAAAGTTCATACACTGTATAATCCCATTTATATAACAATCTCAAAATGCCAAAATTATAGAAATAGACAACAGATTTCTAAGGGTTAAGGATGGTGGGGGCAGAAGAGGGTGGACAACTCAAATGGGGTAGTAAACAGGAAACCCTGGTGTTGCTGAAATAGTTCTATAGTTTGATTGTTGTGATGGTTACACAAGTCCACACGTGGTAAAATGCATGGAACTAGACACATTGTACCAAAATTGATTTATTAATTTTGATATTGTATTCTAGTTATGTAAGATATAGCCATTGGGAGAAACTGGGAGGACCTCTCTGTACTATTTATGCAACTTCCTGTTAATCTATAATTATTTATTGAAAAGTTTATAAATATCTATAAATATGTATAAGCTTTTACAATTTATGCATACACAAAACTTGCTGAAAAACGTATTTCATAGCTCTCTCATCTAAGCTAGGATGATCAAGATAACAATAAAGACTTTATTGTCATTATGCAGTATTATTTTAATAAATAGAGCTGTTCAAATGAACACAATGTCTATTTATTGTCATTACATAGCATTATTTCAGTAAACAGTGCTGTCCAAGTGAACATGAAACCTGTTTTAAAATTATGCAGTCTGCTGGACTATGCCCTCTTTAATGACCACATTGGATTCATTTCTCTATCCTAAGTGCCTAGAACCATTTCTTACATATCATAGGCATTCAATAAATGCTAGTTAAATAAAGTTCTTGAGAGAGATTAGACATTAACTGGAGGATTAGAGATTGGGGTCATCAAACTGAAGCAATCTTTTGGCCTTTGGTGAAAATCTTGTTATAAGAGCCTTCATTTTCAGTTATGTTAAGAGCCTCCAGCTTTCAACAGTGAAGAACAGAACTGTCCGATCATGAATAAAGAGAAAGTGGCAGAGCACTTCTGGTTCCAAGCGAAGCATTACACTAAAGGAAAAATTCCAAGAAAGAACTCTCAAAGATATTAGAATCTAAAAAATATTGGCAGAATCTGTGAGTGAGAGACAATTAACTCTAAGAACTAAAAGACAATGACATTTGTACTAAGTGTGTCTGTATAGGATGTATGTGTCTGCATAGAATGTATGAATGTGTACAAAGGGGAAATGGTAAGTTTGATCAAGAAGGAAATGGCAGGGATATATATACAAGCACTTCTCTCTGAAAACTTGTAATTTATTATTTATTTATTTATTTATTTATTTATTTATTTATTTATTTATTTAAGTTTATGTATTTATTTTGAGAGAGAGAGAGGGAAGAGTTCAAATGTGGGTAAGTTTATAGGAATTGGTTATTGAACAGGTTATGTTTCATGATGAGAAAAGGTTGAATTTAGAAGGCTCTTATCATTTGTTACATTTTATATTATGGTGGATAGACACAAATATGGTATGATGACAGTTAATCACTCTGCTTCACAATCTGATTCCACATCCTGAAGTCTCAAATTTTTACTAAATGCCTAATAGTCTCCATAATGACCTCAAATAGCAGAAGATTTTATGTAACAATATCTTTTAAAAATATTCTCTTTAGAATCCAGCGAAAGTTACAATGGACTGCTCAGAGGTAGATATTCTAGGCTAACATTTGGGAAGATGGGGTAATGTTCTAAGTCTGCCAAAGAAGATCATAGAATTTACTTAGTCATCAAAGTTAGTATGCATCTTGAGGAAGCCAAGACCCCAAGGAACCTCTGTGCCTTTGCAACTTTATATTAGTACAAGAGTCATTTTACACGGAGTTCTCCAAGCTAGACATTGCTGAGAGAACAGGTAAGACTCACCAATTATAATCCAGTCGAGACTGATGAAGCTGCTGCTGTTTCAGGAGAAGCTTTGTCTCCTGCTGGGTCAGCAGATGCTGAAGGCGCTCTTTTTCAATTTCCAGCTCCATTTTCTGAAGCATAAGTTGCTGCCTTCTATTTTCCGAGAGTTGCTTTCTGACATCAGTTTCACTAGCCTGCTGTGTTCCTTGACCATGCAGCAGGGATGCCCAGGAAAGCCCACAATTATTGCATGATTCCAGATGTGTTTTGGAATATTGAGGGGCCATGTGCGTAGGATGACTTTCATGAACATGATCTTCATTTTCAGAAAGTCTATGACCACAACACTGACTGGATGGAGAAGGCTTCAGGTGTTGGCATTGTTTCATCTTCAATTCCGCTGGTGGGGCTTTCTCTGTAGGGACTGCGTCTACTAGTTTTCTCCCTGGGGATCCATAATCACATGTTCTGGTCTCTAATGGCACCCTGTCTTGGTCCTCTTTAGGACAATGAAAATCTGCTGGCTTCAAAGAATTATTCTTAAACTCCACAAGGGATTCTGAAGCGGAGGCTTGGATTCCAGACATAGGCCTCTGCTTGGTTTGATAGCAGGTTTGTGATTTGGCTACACTCAAGTAGGAGCCATCCAGTTCCATAGCTGAAGACCGAAGAGTGCTCTTCCTATTGGATACCTAAAAGGAACCACAAGATCATTTGTCAAATAAGAGCACACTGAAAGGAGTTCTTTTGACTTTTCAGAAATCAGTGATACATGTTTCTCAAAACAAAGCTCTTGTTCTTCTTAATAAATGATAGTATTCACATAGCTAAACAGACATGTGCCACAAAGCCAAACCCATTTTCAAAAAATCTACATTTCAGTAAATCCAGAAGTAAAAGAAAAAGAAAGTACTTCTATTTGCTGTTTAAGCAAGATTCCAGGAGTTGGAAATAATGAGTTTTACATAGAATCAACTTTGAGAAGAGGCAAAAGCATTAAATGCTAAGGTCTTAAAATGTTTACTTTTAAATACTAAGCCAAGAAATCCACTCAGCCACCTTAAATACCCTTTGAAATGTCCTTTGTTTGTCCATTACACACAATGAGATTTGATGTAAAACAGTTCGTCTTATACTGAATAGGATGTTAGTTACCGCCAGAAATTTGATGAGTTTTTATAAGTATCTTTAGAGCACACAGATAAAACCAAGCACTTTCCAAAAAATATGATTCTAATCAAAAGCGGTTATTTAAATACAAAACATATTTAATTTCAGCTATAAACATAAGTGATTTTTCAGTTAAGCTATTCGAGTGATCATAGCCTGACAGAACTCAGGCAGAAAGGAAGCAGTTGCAAATTACCTTTGGCAGGCCAATAGCATGAGCTTTCCCAGCATTTTAGCCTCACGCCTGTTCTATCAGGCAGAGCAAAACTTAGCTTATATCAGTGATTCTCTAACTTTAGCATGTATCAGAATCACCTGGAGGAATTGTCAAATGTGAATTTCTGGGCTTCATTCTTAGGGTTTCCAATTCAGTAAGTATGGAGCAGAGTTAAGTGAAGCTGTGTTTTTAACAAGTTGCCAGATGATGCTGATGTTGCTAATCTGGCACCACACTTTGAGAACCACTGGTGTCACGGGACATCTGACTCCTCCTGTGTCCCTCTTATAGGACTGTTTTGGTAACACTGGCCTCATCCAGGTAATCCTAGATAATTCCCTCATCTCAAAATCCTTAAGTTAATCACAGCTATAAAGTCTCTTGTCATACAAAATCCTTTGTGTCATATAAAGAGACTTTCACAGGTTCCAGGAATTAGGACATGGACATATTTGGGGGGCATTATTCAGTCTGCCACAACTTCTTTTTAAATTAGAACTAAATCATAAACAGTTGAGATGGTTACCTTATTCTAGAGACATGGAATAAATGAATAATTGAGATCCCTAGCAGAAGGGAGAAAAAAAAAATCCCACCAATTTACCTTGTAATAGTTGAGATGATCTGATTGGAAAAAAATGTCAACAGATATACAGCAACACCATGTTTCCTATATTCTTTTTTAAATACATTTTTAAAATGTTTATTTATTTATTTTGAGAGAGAAAGAGAGAGAGAGAAAGAGAGAATCTCGAGCAGGCCCCAAGCTTGGCTCAGGGCCCAACTCGGGTTCAATCCCACGACTGTGAGATCATGACTCAAGCCAAAACCAAGATACTTAACCGACTGAGCCACCCAGGCATCCTTGTTTCCTATCTTCCGATAAAAGAGGATTATCAGAATTATTATATTATTATAATATGTTATATTATAATAATGATTCTTAAGACTTTGAGTTTCTAAAACAATACTAAAGGAGTTCTATTCAAATGAGAATGACCCATATCTAGGAAGGAGACTTGGTCCTCTTCAAAGAAGACACACAATCCTTTACACTGAGCAGGTGACACGGAGTAGATTGCAAGCTACGGAGAAGAAACTAGTCCTAGGGCAAAATTTATGATAAACTACCTCATAAAAAAAATTAACCTCATTTTACAACTAAAGGGAAACTCCAGTCCACATTAATCTCCCCTACTCTGAACTTCTGTAGCACTTACTGTCAAAACAAATATTTAACATTTATCATCTGCTACTCTGTATGGTAAGCTATCTTTTCATAGAATTATATTTAAAAATGACAGGTGAATTTTTTAAAGGTCTGGAAACTTAAATCCACTCTTTTACATTGTCCTATATTTCCTAATCCATGTGTTGGCAACTTAACAATGGCATGTATGTATTATTTTATATTCTTATTTTTGCTCCTCAGCATTATTTACATATGTGCATCTTTAGATACTGATACAGCTGATACTTATGTTAATGGTACTGATTATTAAATTACTCATAAATGTCACATATTTGGAATATTTAAAAATGTTTTTTTGGAAGTGTCAGGTATTTGGAATATTAAAAAAATACTTTTGTTGGTAGTTAACTTTTTATGTTTATGAGAAGCAGTTCAACTTAATGATTTTGATGCACACTTTGCTTAAAGAGAACACTCCTTGCCAGTTACTGATGTGACTGTGCATGTTGGTAGGCAGAATTCTAAGGTGGTCCCCAAGATTCCTGTCCTCTTTGTGTGCCCACGTGGTATTATCTCCTCCCCTTGAATGTGGGTATAACTTGTGAACGTGATGAGATATTAATCCTATTATTATGTTAGAGTATATGACCAAAGGGACATTACAGATTAACTCAGGCTCCTCCTAATCAGTAGAGTTTGAATTAATAAAAAGGAGATTATCTTTTATGGGCCACACCTAATCAAGTAAGTCCTTTATAAAAGGGTCTTGTGCCCTCCCTAAGATCAGAGATTGGCTTTGAAGAAACAAGCTAACATGTTATGGGAGGACCAATGAAGGGGGTCATGTGGCAATGACCTCTGGAGCAGAAGGCAGTTTCCAGCCAACAGCTAGCAAAAAATGAGACATCAGGAAACTAAATTCTGCCAATAAGCACGTGAGCTTGGAAGGGGACCTAGAGCTCCAGATGAGAATGCAGCCCAGCTGTTACCCAGACTGCAGCTTTCTAAGACCCCAAGCAGAGGACCCAACCAACCTGCACCTGACTCATGACCCATAGAAATGGTGAGATAATAAATGTGTGTTGTATTAAACTAGTCAATTTGTAGTATTTTGTTGCACAGCAATAAAAAAATGAATAAAGCACCTTTTTCAACTTGCCTGACCCTCAGTTTTCTCATCAGTAAAACAGGGATCAAAAACAGCATCTACCTTAAAACTGAACATGGTGGACAGACAGATGGGCACTTATCAAGGTTGCCATTTCATAAGGGTATTGATTTACAAAAAGGAAAAAAAAAAAACCCTTATATTTACCCAAACGTTTTTCAAGGAGAACCTTATGGGGTATGTGCCGGGGAGGGGCAGGGGGGAAGTGAGATTTCCAAGGGACATGTACAGTTACAATGATTACCTTAAATTGTCTTCTAAAACAAATGAGTTTGGTTATCCAGCTTTATTTTGCTACAGTGAGGCTTGCAAGTTGGGTCAGTGTTGAAATGCTTTAGATAATAGACAGGTTCTTCATGTTTGTCCTCATTACAAAATATGTCTTACCCTGACATCTTGCCTTGCCTCTTAGGGCTATTGTGACGACTGGATGAGATCATTCACACAAAGTGCTTTGGATATTGCCAATCTACAGTCAGTATTCAAACAATGTTTCCTATTATAATTATTACTACTGTTACTAGCATTGACTTCTCTGCCCCAACAACTTTTGCAGTCAGGGCTTTATTTACTTCCGCTGTATGTATAGCACTGAGGCTTGCATATACTACATTCTCAATAACAAGGGGCTGACTGTATCAGATAAGAAGAAAAGTCAAGTTGGGGTATGCGTCCCAGAAAATTAGAAATGAAAATCAGAATCCATGATTAGGCTGAATTATGTGCTACTAAGGAAAATGAAGAGAGGAGAAATAGAAAACTGCCTGTTAGGATCTGAATATAAGAAATTAAGTTATTTTATTAGTGAAGTGAAGACAAATATTGCCTCTGGGACACATGGAAGTCACAACGGGCCCAATGAAACAGATGTGTTTTTCTTTCTGGAGCTGCTGCACCATGCTTTCTATGAGATGTTTACAAATGTAACCTCTTTTAACTAAGGCTTAAACTAACAAATCCCAAACCGCTGTCTCTGGCATATGGGTTTGATATGAATTTTTCAGATACATCACACTAATTTAGGAACCAATAATTTTTCTAATGGAGGCATAATTTACATATACTAAAATGCACACATCTTAAGTGTACAGCTTGATGAATTTTTACATTTGCATATACCCATGTAATCATCATTACCCCAGAAAAGATCCCTGTGCCCTTTCTAGTCAAACCAACCTCCTCATACTCCCAGAGGTAACCATTATTCTCACTTCTATGACCATAGATTAGTTTTGCCTATGTTTAGCTTCACATAAATGGAATCATATGGCATGCTACTCTTTTGTGGCTGGCTTCTTAAGCTCAACATAATTTTGCATGTTTATTTTTGAGAAAGAGAGAGAGAGAGAAAGAGAAGGGGGTGGGGCAGAGAGAGAGCACAGAGGATCCGAAGTGGGCACTGCACTGACAGCAGAGAGAATGTTGTGGGGCTCTAACTCACCAACCAGGAGATCATGACCTGAGCCGAAGTCGGTCACTTAACCAACTGAGCCACCCAGGAGCCTCATTAAGTTCAACATAATTTTGAATTTCTTTTATGTTTCTGTGTGTATCAATAGTTCATTCTTTTATATTGTTGCATAGTATTTCATTGTATGAATATACCAAAATTTGTTTATTCATTCTCTTATTGGATTAGGTTGTTTCTGGTTTAGGGCTACTGCGAATAAAACTGCTAGCAATATTCTTACACAAAGTCTTTTTTTGACATACATATTTATTTTTCTTGGGTGCCAGGTAGGCATATGTTTGACTTTATTAGAAACAGTCAGAGTGGTCCATCTGTTTTACATCTCCATCAGCAAAGTAAAAGAGTCCCAGTTGCTTCTCATTCACACTTACATTTGATACTATATTTTTATTTTTAGCCAATCTGGTGTGTAGTGAAATCTTATTGTGATTTTATTTTTCATTTCCCTGATATGTAATGATAATTAATTAACAT